CTCCCCTTCCCTTTAGGTTAAGAAAATTCATCCCTCCCCTTCCCTTTAGGTTAAGAAATGTTACCCCTCCCCTTCCCTTTAGGTTAAGAAAATTCATCTCTTCCCTTCAACTTAGGTTAAGAAAATTCATCCCTCCCCTTCTCCTTATGTTAAGAAATTTTATCCCTTCCCTTCCCTTTAGGTTAAGAAAAGTTCATCCCTACCCTTCCCCTTAAGTTAATAAAACATTCGCTTTCTCCACCTGAGCTGCATCTTTGTGGAACTCAAAAGGCACAAACCCTCAGCCCTGCAGCTCACGGGCCGATCCTGCCTTGCTTTGGCCCCTTTGCCCCGTGGGCACACACACACAGGGACAAGGGCACTGCAGGCTGCAAAGGGCCCTGTCCTGAAGGGCCATGGCCACAACATGGAGTGCACTTCAAGATCCGGATGGACACACTGGAGGCCACTACTCTGAATCTGCAGAACACACTGCGAGCAATAGGAGCTGGAGCTGGAGTGCCTGTTCTCAAAGGATGGAAGGAATTCAGCCTTGCCAGCCTTTCTTAAGTGTGTGCTGGCATTCCCCAAGGAAACTACAGATTTGGGTCATCCCTCTGCAGGCCAAGGGCTTGCTTCTCAAGGGAAGTGCTTCCCAGAGAGTTCTCGCTGAGGTAGCTCCAAATGTCTCCCTCTGGCTCTCGGTGGTCCTTTCACACCTTGTGTCCCATGGCACTTGGCAGAGTGGCAGGGGAAGGGGGAAGGCTGTGAAGAGCAGCCTTGGCTTCTGCCTGGACCTGCAGAGACCAAGCCAAGCACCTGCCAGCAGGGTCTGTCACCCACCTTTCAGCAGAGGTCTGAGCAGGAGCATCTCTGTCCAGCTGAGAGCCCCAAAGCTCTCACAGAGACCTGCAAAGTAAAAAGCCTTTATCCACACCTTTATTCTACCTTATCTCTCTTAGTCATCAGGTTAGGTCAGTCTAATTCATGGAAATCACTGATTTCCCAACCCAATACACCCATCTGCTCACACCTACAGGAGGTCAGAAAACACATGTCTATCCAGCACTTGAAATGACAGAAATGTGCAGGTATCCATACTGCAGCAGTGTGACAATAGATATTGTAGTCAGGCAAATAAGGCCACCACCTCTGCAGCACAGCAGTCCAATCCCACACGGAACCAGCCCCAGCACAACCACCATTCCAGCCACCCAAGAGGACAGGGCCTCTCTCAACAGCAAAGATGAAACACTCCCTGCAAAGCAAACATGAAGAAAACCCTCAAAACCACAGCTCACTCTCCTGAGCTCCCTCCTTTGCCTTCTCCATAGGGCTCTGGGCCATATTTACAGCTGCTTTAGCACAAGTCCCAGGAGCAGCTGCTCTCCAGGGGCACAGCCAACCTGGGAAGCTGGGCACGCACCCACTGAGCAAACCCCAGCAACTCTGCTCCACCTGAGGCAGCCCCTCAGCTCAGCCACTGGAGCTGGGCTGGGGCCCTTCTGTCCCACACTCAAT